GCTCGCTTAGCATGTGAGAGGTACTGGGATCAATGCCCAGGTTCTCCAGAAATTCTTTTCCAAAAATTGTGAAACTATGTCAAATGTTATTATTGAATGGATAAGGTATATATACTTCAAAATTCCCCATTCGAAAATGTCGAAATGATCGAAAACTATTTATAGACCTATAAGTAGTTTTACAAGAAGCGGTTTATTTACTGTTAAGTTATAAGAAAGTTGTTTGAAAACAACTCCTGTTTAACATACCCAGTTCCCCTTTCTTTTTACAACGATTGTGTTATTAGTAAGTGCACATCTATCGCATTCATTGAGCAACACAACCTGCATAATTTATACTTCTATCAATCCCCTCGCTCTATGAATAACTTACACCTATTTTTCATATATACCCACATTCTCGTTGTTCGCCCATTCAGTGTCTTTTTATCGTTTTTGTTATGTTTCTAAGGTTTCTATTACTCTTTGTTTCAGGGTTTGTTTTAAGCGTATTGTTACACTTAAAGTTTTTTGCTCTTTTTATCCACTGCATTATTAAATCACCGAACTCATTTCGCTATTCGAAGACTATATCATTAGGCACAGTTATTAAGATTAATTTTGTTGTCTTCAAATCGGTTACATGCTGCATATTTACAAAAGTGACGGATAAAAAATCCGGAAAGATGAATTCAAATCTGCGTCATTGTAACTGGTGCATGTAAGTGAATGAGAACGAACATCGGTAGGTGGCGCTGGCTTCATGATATTGGAGGTAGCTGAAAATGATACTTTCCACGCATGCGTCGTGGTGGAGAAAGAGGACGTGCTCGTGCCGATTGTCACCGAATGCTTGAGCTCACCCTTGTGCACGTTCAAGGTCAACAAACAGGTGGTTTTGTTTCAAACTCCGGAAACGTTGAGAATTGGAACGATCTTCATGAAGGACAGTTTGCAGCCTCCTCACAATCATTTTACTGTTATACCAAGCAACTCTATGTTTTTAGATTTTATGGGTAGCAGACGATTTTTATGTACTTGCAGCTTTTATCCTTCAGCTGTTTCCCTTTTTCATACAAATAACCTGTACCTTATTCTTACTACTTTAGAAAGTTTAGTTAACACAACATTGTCTTTACAGGGCAATTTGTTCCCGAAATTGTATATTTCATGTAGGCCTATCTGTCGATACATAAATATATCTTTATCTTAAGATTAGTGAAAAATTCCTTGGTTACATATGGAGGCTTGGACTTCTACATCCGTGTGACCTGACACCTTTTAGGTTTTGTTACTCATACTCAAATCGGATTTTCCCATTTGCAAGTGATACTTTTACTCTTTAAAGCAAAAGAGGTCCTCATACATGTAACACTGCCATGCAGTATCGAGCAGTGTCAATTACCTGGAATCCAACTCAGACGCCGATATCCAGTAAAGTCACTTATTCCTGCATTGCCCTTCACATAGATTACATACAGTATCCCTTCTCTAGAGAATCTGTACGAGTCTTGGTACAGAATAGCAACTAAATTTGATAAACTTTATTGAGGTTGAAGTTATACATATATTTATTTGATTCACAATTCAAAGGAAGCCTGGTCATTTTGGCCCTGTTGCACACCATAAGCTGTCGCTCTCACCTCTCAGGGGAGGATTCAGCCCGGCTGCCGTATTAGGCGCTCAGAGCTAGCAAACGTACCATTTCTACACTGCCAGACCAGACACCTGCTTCAGCCCCTTCGTGCTGGCGGGTGCCAAGCTGGGAGACAGCAGGTACCGTTTAAATACATAACATCAATATCATGAAAATGAAAATACGAACAGAAAAAAGTTTGTCCCATTCATTTATTTCCACAGGCGGAGCTTTTATGCTTCTCACACGACATGCCACCCCCTCTCTCATCGCAATTAGAAGGGGTAAAACATTAAGTTTGAATAAGTCTTGGTCGTGTAAAGTTTTAAAATTGAACCTGATGCACTGAGCAAAGTTTTTTCATAGCAGCATAAAAATAAATAAATGATAAATGTTGCCACGCATCGAATGTAAAATTTTGAGAACTTGCCTGCATAAGGTACCCTAGGTTCTAGATTCCGATATTGCCAGCTCGATCTTGATTTCATATATAACCCATATCAACAATAGTAAAAGCGACTCCATCACAAGGTATATTTAAGCTAGTTAGCTTTTACGTTGCTCTGACACTCAGCGTAGCATAAGGGAGATATGATCTCAACGCCGTGATTAAAAAACGGCCTCACATTTCGCATAGCCTGAAATCTGGTTCATCATAATTCCGGCAATTCGTGTCTACGTGAAATCAAAGTGCATCGACATTACCTGTTTGTATTCGACTGGTGACATTAATGTTTTTTTTTATTTTTATTTTTATTTTTATTTTTATGTAAACAATAGTGGACCGTTTTGTGGAAAAAAGTTTTGTCAACAGTTTCAGATATAGTACATAAACATCTATACTGTGTTGATGAAAGAAAAAAAAAAGACGAATTCCCAGGAAAATTAAATTTTAGCTACATAAGTGACTAGAAGTATTTTGTGAGTTCACGTATATGTACACGCATAGCAGGGAATTCATTCTCATTAGAAACACCAAATGGGCGAATAGATGCTACATTAACGATTCAAAATGATAATCATAAATTATAGCAATCCCAATAAAATTTACCTTTCTAAAATTTTAATTTACATACCTATTATTGCACGCCTTTTTAATACACAGCACTGTAAGTGAACCATGCTTTTTTTCTCTCGAGATCGTCAACCCTCCCCAGTGCGAGCCCCCAAAACAACTTACTTTTTAAGGCTTGTCATTTTACGGGGATTCGCTGGGGAGGCAGAAACGGAAAAAACAAAATAATAAATATAGTAGGCAGTGAATATGCACTATAAAGATCATAAAACCATGCATTTCACAATTAAAAATAAGCAGTGAACTTAAACGTACTTCATTCTCCAAATTAAGGTAAGATTAGATTAGGCATAGAGTCAAAATACATTTACAACTTATCAAAACGACAACTTAAAACGAAATCATGAACACTTCAAGATTCAAATCCAGCAAACTATTCTTGCGCCAAAACGATAAAAAACCAACTTTTGATAAGAACCTCTGATACCTATTCCAACTTTCCTAGAGTTACCGAGGACTATCTGAACTTACAAACTACAGCACTTCAGCCATTTTCTTTGGGAGGGGGGAGGGGTCTGGGTAATTCATCTCAGCAATTGGACATATGTTGCTATTAATATACAACATTGGTCAAAAAGGTTGTCCCACCATTGAGCACTAAAATGCATACACATTACATTTTACAGGTTCTCTACACTAGTCATAACAACTTAACAACAATTATACAAATCTATACAAATATTTATGGAATGATTACTGGGAAGCAGCACAGAATAAAACGACTATTGCTATTGATGGGTGTGTCGTTTTTTCAAACTTTCAGTTATATACAGTATAGATGTAATGTTCTCAAACACGATTCACTTTTTGGACTGAGCAGCCACTGAATTTTTCCATGATCTGTTTTCTGCTCAGGAGGTATCATTTATCTAATTCTTCTGTCACTATGTTCTTCACATTTCAGTAGAAAGTGGATTTCCGTTTCAATTTCATTACAGTGGGGGGCACTTGCGATTTTCAGTAGGGGTTTTAGGGGACGTATAGCGGCCATGTTCAATTTCTAATTCGTGGTCACTAATGCGCATTTTTTGCAATAGTCTTCATTAAAAAAGATACATTTGTTATTACTCTACTTAAAATTAAGTGTTTACCTATCATATTAAAATATTAAATGTTATTTAAACTATCTTACATGATGTATTTAGCGACTGACGTGCTTATTCGATTCAATTCTCCTAGATTTAATGTGAATGACACTATATTTATATCACTTCAATTTTAGTTATTAGAATAGGCGGAGATTTTTCGCTACTCATTAAGCCTCATCATCATTATCATCATCATCATCATTTCTCTCTCTCTCTCTCTCTCTCATGTACTTTGTAGTGGGTACTTTTGATAACTTGAATAACTTCTGCTCATGATTAAAGTCGCGACGAATCGACTGAAAAATCTGAGACCTTGTTGTGTTCGTGTAGATATCATCTAAACATGGTGGTCGTAAGCGACTTCATATTTCAAATCGCTTGAAATCTGTTTAATCAATTTTCCAAGATGACGAGCCTAGACGAAATTGGAGTGTACATGCATGAATCGACCTCACCTGTTTGAGGCTAACTAAGGTGCATCCACAACCAAAGAGCGCATTCAGAACAGTTCATCCGTGAACTTACTGATCCGCGGACTAAACATGGTGGAGCCACTTAAAAGCGATGCCGCTAATCAATGCTGGTCTCCCCACTTCAACACGCGTAATTAAATGGATTAAACCTCAACTCCGAGATTTAATAGCTAGGCCCCTGCAGCGACGGCGCGTGTGATGGCGGGGAGACCATTAGGGAATTAGCGGCATCACTTTTAAGTGGGGTCTACCATAGCCTATTTAGTCTGCGGATCAGTTTATTTGCAAATCATCTGTTCCGACTGCGCTCAAAGTTGATTCGCAGACTAACAAATCCGCGTAATCCCCGCTGGGAATCTATTCAGCCATGAGGGGAATATGCGGCAAGCTATTTAGTGGATCCGCCATTTTTCTTATATCTGCATTTATCAGAAAGTTTATTATTTATCTTGGTTTTACGAAGATTGAGTAAAATCAGTTAGCCGGTCTTTTTGGGTTGTTTAGGACTAATTACTTAACTGAGTTACTAAAACTACATCATTAATATGATACTTAAATATTTTTATTTGAGTTTCATGGAAAGTAAATATAATAGAAGGTTCCTTTAATCTCAGTATGTGGTTATATTTATTGTCTATTTCCTGGGAAACGTAGAGCTTAAAATTTCCCAGAATCCCAACAAAGAAATGGCATTGAATTTGCATTCAAAGAATTAGTTACTCATTTAAATACTTGGAAAGTTACTACACGAATACTATATAAGAGAGATGAATTAGCTGGTTTGTCAACAATATCGCTAGACGATAGAGATACCCAGCTGAAGATACCAGTGCCAGGCGCTCCTTGTTGAAGGTGAGATGTTTTCATCGTGCTTACGGTGCTATTTTTTAAATATTACATTGAAGCTGCCTATTTTGGCAAAGTTTTATAATTGCTTACCATCTAATTTGATATAGTAACATGGCGTATTTCAAGCCACTGATTCGACAAAAACATCTTTAATAGAGTGAATGAAAATACTGATTGATTTGCGTGACTTCAAATTTACTTTCAAGGACGTTCTGAGCGATGCACTCATGAAGCGATTAATATTCTGAAGCATGAGTCGTTATTTTTGGGGCAAAGATTTAATTTTGATTGGGTTTTCGAAAGTTTTCCGTTTAACAACCAATATCAACGTAATTGTAGTAATATATTCAACTATTATCATGTTCATGCTGCCATCACACGTACATGTATACTCGTAACTATCTCTCATTACTACATGTACGTGTATAACCTTTCGGGTGTGATCTTGCATTTAGGCGTGGCAGATAAAAACCATCGAAATCTAGCTTATTTAAGTTACTTCCACCTACGCCCAGTATTCTTTTAGACGCGCTATGTTAGACCGTTACTATATAGTTAAAAAAAGATATTGAAATATCAAAAAAAAAATATATATATATATATCTTAGTCAACAAAATATATTAGATTTTGTAGAAAATGGCCATCAATATAGCAGTTTTGGGCTTTTTCTTTTTAATTTTACCGTAACGAGTAAAATTGACAAGTTTCTATCTCCATTCTAAAAGTTACTCGAAAATTAGCAGCTATCATTCTTAACGGTTTTGGTTAGATGTGCCTTGTTGGTGAACGGATTTGATATTTCTAGGAAATTTTGTTTGTTTATAAAAGGTCAGATAAATATGCACTGAATAGACGTTCAAGATCAATCATTACCTTTCACAAAACGTTGACGTAATTTTTTGAAGATGTCATTTTATGTTTTTTCTCACTCCATTTCTCTCTTCTCCTATCAGTCTACCATGAAGCTGTACCTGCTAATAGGCATTTTAGTGGTCGTCGTGGCTACGATGGTCCAGGACGGAGAGAGTTTTAGAAGAAGGCGGCAAGCAATCTGTTTTGCTTATTTTAAAATCAAAAGCAATTTCTATGGAAAATTTGGTTTAAAAAAGACGAAAGAATAAATAGAAATATTTCAGATAATTTTAGTCTTCTTGGTTTGATAAGCATGGGTGGCGTGTCAATTTTATTATGTTAGCAGTTATAATGAACAATTTCAGTTTGAATCAGGCAAAGGCTAAACAGAATATTGAGTGGAGATAAATTAATTGTAAGCATAACCAGAAATGAGATGATCGAATTAATAATGCACTAGTGACACTGCATACCCTAAAGAATGCTACTCTATCCAAGCTAGTGTGGGAACGAAACATTTATTTTTAAAAAGCCCAATCTGTGTGTTACGTTAGGAAAGGGTGGATAAATTTTCAGGATATTTTGACCTCGAAAAATAGAACAGTAAATGAAAATTAAGCACACTCTATTTCCAGATTCTTCAGAAGGGTGTTCAGACACTATTGCAAGCATAACCCGTGGGCTTGCTTGGGCGACGGAGTTGATGACGTAAGTACACCCCGGAGTGAGAGAGAGAGAGAGAACGATCAGAGGAAAAGGGAAGGAGCGTGATTTGGAAAATATGGGTGAAAGAGAGCAAAGAAGATTTCATAGTTTTCAATTAAATGATGAAAATATCAAATGATTTCAGGAGAAAAGACTGAGGGCCATGTTGAGCGATGTTCAAGACGGAAAGATGTCGGAGCTTGATGTAAATGGTATGTTTTTGAGAAAAAAATTCGTTTTTTTCTGCTTATACAAAGAGTATTGTTGTTTTTAGGAGAGAAATCTTGTCACTGACTGTCTTTAAAAGTGGTATGTGACCATCCATTATCGAATCGCTGAGATGATGACATGAATGAACGTGATGTTTTCATTCTAATTAGAGCTGGATTATCTCCACGGTCACTTGATCTGATCACAGGCCAGCTTCTCTCTCTCTCTCTCTCTCGCACGCACGCACGCACACAAACATACTCAAAGTGGCTACAACAATCACAAGGTATAGACCCTAGCTTATCCTACAAGTACTTTGAAACTGTTGATCTCTCTTTGCAATGATTTTGCCAATAGTTTTCTCAAAATTCTTCCATTTCAGCTCCTGTGAACCAGGACCTCTCATCGGACGCCGAGGATGCGCAGCTGGACAAGGAGCTGGACGATATGACTGAGGAGGACGTAGCTGAGCTTGAGGATCTGCCCAGCAATAAGGCTTAAATGGTAACTTTTTTGTTGGGAAAGTTTTAACAGACCTTTCGCTATTTTTCATCACTAACTAACTAAATGTGTATGTACTGAGTATTGCTTTTATATTTACAAAATTAAGTAATTACTGGCCACTTCATCTACACCTAGTCTTTTTTCTTACATTGGGAAATTCAGAAAAAAACAAAAGGTGTTGAACAAAAACAATGTAATAGGCAACCAGGCAAATTTCCATGCAGGCGGATGGCAGGGAGGGGTCGGGGGTAGGGGGTGTTTCTAAACCCAGCATTTCCCAAATTGTAAAATCTGACCTTACGGTCAATACATCATAATGCTAAAATCGGTTTATATGTAAACTCTCATATTCTTTTTCAGATACAATAACAAGACCCGCGTGTATTAATTATGAAATTTTTTGATACAAATTGACTGATTGAACACTGAAATTATTGTCAACCAGCAGCATTTCGACATTGGAAATAAAGCAGATGAATTCACTTTTTGTTTTTAAAAGAAAACTGATTGATAATTGAACAAGCAGTACATAGTTATAAAGTAAAATGATATGGACGGAGACAACACGCAGGCATCAGATACGAGACCGAGTACAATTACGACCGTCGCAGTGATACAAAAACTTTTCAGCTGTTGTAACAAAAGAATGGGCAAAATGCGGTGTACGGTTAATTGTTATTTAAAGGTTACTTTAAGCAATAAACTTAATATCTATATATTCAGTTGATCGATACAACGCAACCCTCAGCTACTTATGTAAGTCTGAACCCCCCCCCCCCCCAAAAAAAAAAAAAAAAAAAAAAAGTATAACGAACCCGACGAGGCAATATCATCCTTAAAACCTACCGGTACATAAACATGCATTGTGGAATTGTCCTTGTGCACTATTTTATACTAGCCAGGTAATGGAGTCAAAATCCGTTGTCCTTGTGTACCTCCTCCCCTCCCCCTTCGTAAAATCCTGGTTTCACCAGCGCAGGGTCGTCCAACTCATCAGCTACAGCATCATATGTTTTCTCCTCGATGTCAAACTGAGAAGATTAAAAAAAAGTGCATTAGATCACGCATATTGACTGAAGTAGACAGAAAAATAATTTGATAAAAAACATGAGTTTGTACTGGGGAGTCATGCCTAGACATTCCATTTTCCTGTTTTTTTTTACGAAAAATTAGAACAGGAAATTGACTAAAGCAAAGGATTCACTTCAAATTATTGTTTTTCTTTTTATCAAGAGCTTGTAAAATATGTGGGTATTACCTCCAATATTTCTGTGACTGTCAGTCACCATCATCAGGGGACCTCACGATGCTCCAGAGGGATGCAGAGGAGCCCCGAGGGGAGGATATAACAGTAACAACACAAGGCCAGTGATTAGGGGCAATTGACCTGGATTTTCATTCCAGGTGAAATGACCCTAGTCACTACCAGTGCATACCGTAGCTTGTCGCATCCTGTGCGTGAGAGCTGACAATTATGATCAATCTAAATAATGGTAAATGCTTAGGTTCTTCAGACAGATTTAAGCAGAAAAAAGAAATGATAATTGTATTCGATATTCCCAGATATATTTTTGTTACAATATGTCCAGAAGTTTTTTAATGGGTTTAAAAGACTTAATCGTCAGGTGCAAACAAAAACAATGAAATATTGACACATAATGATCATTTCTTTTGTAATTTGCGAAAAGAACACTCGATGCAAATTGCTAAAATATACAAAGGTTAAATGAGCTATAATTTCCGCTTTGTGTAAATGGGTGTCACGAACCTGTGCTTGTGTAGGCGCGTGACCGCTAGCAATAAAAATCCATTTGCGTAGAAGAGGCACTTTCTAGTCGCACAGCTAGTCAAAATCCACATAGTAGCATGTAGGGGATCTAGCTCAAATGGTAGAGCGCTCGCTTAGCATNAAAATGATATGGACGGAGACAACACGCAGGCATCAGATACGAGACCGAGTACAATTACGACCGTTGCAGTGATACAAAAACTTTTCAGCTGTTGTAACAAAAGAATGGGCAAAATGCGGTGTACGGTTAATTGTTATTTAAAGGTTAAGCAATATCCTTAATATCTATTTATTCAGTTGATCGATACAACTCATGTGAAATGGCCCAGGTGAAATGACCCTAGTCATTTACTCCCTGATGATGGTGACTGACAGTCACAGAAATATTGGAGGTAATACCCACATATTTTACAAGCTCTTGATAAAAAGAAAAACAACAATTTGAATTGATACATACAGAGCTAATGAAAATTTTCTCTCATTCAAAGGACAGTGCATACCGTAGCTTGTCGCATCCTGTGCGTGAGAGCTGACAATTATGATCAATCTAAATAATGGTAAATGCTTAGGTTCTTCAGACAGATTTAAGCAGAAAAAAGAAATGCTAATTGTATTCGATATCCCCAGATATATTTTTGTTTCAATATGTCCAGAATTTTTTAATGGGTTTAAAAGACTTAATCGTCAGGTGCAAACAAAAACAATGAAAGATTGACACATAATGATCATTTCTTTTATAATTTGCGAAAAGAACACTCGATGCAAATTGCTAAAATATACAAAGGTTAAATGAGCTATAATTTCCGCTTTGTGTAAATGGGTGTCACGAACCTGTGCTTGTGCAGGCGCGTGACCGCTAGCAATAAAAATCCATTTGCGTAGAAGAGGCACTTTCTAGTCGCACAGCTAGTCAAAATCCACGAAGTAGCATGAAGGGGATCTAGCTCAAATGGTAGAGCGCTCGCTTAGCATGTGAGAGGTACTGGGATCGATGCCCAGGTTCTCCAGAAATTCTTTTCCAAACAATTGTAAAATCATGTTAAAATTCTTTACTGAATGCATAAAGTATAGGTACTCCAAAATTCCCCCATATGACCGACTCTTTCCCTTTTGTAATGAGGAAGAAGATAAGCGTCATTTCAAACTTAAATCATTACGTGAAACGAAGAACTCTGAAAAAAGCTTTTTGAAATGTGATAAATAGCGACATACTTTTTGTAAATGTGGAACGGAGGTATTCATTTAGGAGTATGTCAGCGCTAAAAGTAATTTGCCAGTATAAGGGGAGTACTTGGATCATTGTCCATGTTCTACAGACATTTTTCCCTTGGAAAAAAGAAATGTTAATTCTATCCCATAATCTCAGATATATTTTTGTTTCAAATGTGTCCATTAGGTTTTTAAAAAGCATGTTTAAAAGCAAGCCAATCTAACTTAGCAAGTTAAAAGTAAAAAAAGCATTTCAAAGATCCCAATATTATGATTATTATCTTTATTAGTTGGGTTTGGTAATTTACCAGAACCCAACTCTCTGCAATTTGCGCAAATAAAACAAAAATCAGTTTGAAAGTTTGAAGAGACTTAATAAAAAGGAAAAGTTATTCTTCATTTGGAACAATGGTCGAATTGAGCCTAATTCCCTCTTTGTGAGGATGGATGTCTCGACAGTGTCTTTGTGTGCGTGCGTGACAGCTTCCATTCACAATATGAACATCAAGTAAATGTAAATGTACGTCGTATGTGCGTTGATGAGCCACGTCGTGGACAAAAAGTCAGGAAAACAAACTCCAAATTTGCATGGAGGGGATCTAGCTCAAATGGTAGAGCGCTCGCTTAGCATGTGAGAGGTACTGGGATCAATGCCCAGGTTCTCCAGATTTTTTTCACTTACTTGTTTACTTTTCTGCTTTCATATTAAAATTAAAATAGATAAATAATAATTATAATAATTAACACGCACACCCACACAATGATATGGTTCTAAAAGTCAGGAATAAACATTTTTTTCTTTTCACTCCTCGGTTTTGATAAGCATAATGGGTCCCCAATATCATATTGATGCTACTGTATGTTATATAATTATTATTATTATCTTGCTGATCATGATCATAGCCCTACAGCATTAGTTAAAAAAAAAAACGAGGCAGCAAAGCTGTCAAATGTACAGACAAAAAGCAGAAACAAAATGGTGCACAAAATAACTTACTGTCAATTCTGATGCAAAAATACATTAGGATTAACAGCAAAGTCAACATCAAAATTTGTCTGTTATACATCTGTGTCTGTACATAAAAACATACTGAACAATGTCAGGAACTTCTGCCGCTTTCGTGCCCCTAGATTGCTACTGGATAAATTCACCTAAAATTTCAACGTGGGCCCCACCTAACGCTGATTCACACACGTACGCTTCGTAGTTCAAATAGATAAATAGACAAATAGCGTAGACAGAACAGTTAGAAAAATAAATAATCAATAAAAACAAATAAAAAGAATAATTAATAAAGGCAATTTCCATACTCTAAACCTTTTAACGCAGTCCAGTTTGAGAACATGGGTTTTCAGTTCATACGTGTACGGGATGAGAAACTGGTTAACATTTCGGAGTATCGTACCCCAGAACAATTTTTGTCGGTGTTCTGACTGATACTCCAAAATGCGATCTGACACACACCTTGAAAACGGGTAGTGTGATCTGATAAACCGGTTAATTCAGGATCCTTCTGTGCCGAGTCTAGTAGTTGTTTAGGCCTGGAACTGGGGCGCTGTCAATGCCCAGTTTGCTCTAAGCCGCGTGATTTAAGTCCTGTTGAATGATACTACCGGTACAGCGAGAATTCCTCACCAAAACACCTTGATTTGTCCCTCAAAAAGGAAAGTAGAAATACAGAGTATCATTGCAGAATAAACAAACTTTAGATGATTGCTCCAAATTCATACTTGCTATCAAATCCTCTAAAGTATGTACGGACAAATAGAGAAGGAATATAAATGTAGTAAAATAAAAAATAATATAATTGACAAGGTTATTTTGTAGAATTGTCAGTACCTTTCTCAGTGGCGAAGCAGGTGGCGACTCGATGTTCGCTAAAAGTGTTCGCCCAGACCACGTAAAGTCATGTGAATCGGGGCGAGATGTGTTCATTTGGGCCGACAGTGACTATAAATACAGCGAACTCTTGCACCACTCTTTATCCTGACTTCTGAGACATCAACATGGGGATCCTTGCTACACGTTACGCTCTTGTCTTGTTGCTTGTATTTCTGGCGCTGGACGCAGGTAACAAATTTTGACACTGTGTTATAGGAATTGATTAATTTCACCAAATACCAGTTTGGAGTTTAGGAGTACATGTAAATCATTTTCTGATATTTGCAGCCACATACCCTTTTCGAAGAAGAATGGGGCGTGGTTTGGAAAAGAATCTTATTCATTTAGGTTTGAACCCTATTGTCAAGCATGTACTGTTTGATTACAATTATAGCAGGACGTAGTCATCTGGACAAGGAAGTGTGCATTCAGACATGCAGGGCCTTCAAGGTCTATCCGAAGTGGTAGAAACGCTCTCCCATCGTAACAATGTAAAATATGGTCCCTTGAGCAAAACCATACTGGTAAAGATACTGGCACTAGAATAGGGGATCTTCCCAAATAAATGAGGACATCGAACCTGTAGCGCGCACGGTGAAATAGGGGATCCCCCCCTCCCCCCCAAAAAAAATGAGCACATAGATAGGTATATCACAATCCGCTAGGGGCGCTACAGTAGTAACTATATCAGGGGCAGTGAGGCAGTGAAGTGCGAAACTGATACCGCTATGACACCCCTTTTTTAAATCTCTCTTTTAGCGCCGCGTAAAAAAAACTAATATAAGCCATTAAATAAGCTGTAAATCAAAGAGTAAAATCCGGTCAGTTCATGGCGTTTGAAGTTTTGCCTCGACAAAAAAATGTTTAAAAAAGTCAGGTAATTACTGGTTGGAATTTTTTGAAATTTATGATGAATAAAGTTCATGAAATTTGCAATATTAAGTAGAAAAATCATGAAAATTAAACCATGCAAAGTATAGTTAATTTGATGCGCAATGTTTATAGTACATGATCTGCTATGTGCTTGTGCAGTCGCCAATTTGGGTTTGTTTCTGGGTCATTAGATTAATATATAGCAGCTACAGCTGAGTGATCACCGCTGGTCAGTAGTTGCAGGTTTTTAGCTGAAGAGTGTGGACACTTTTGGTGAAATTTTGCGTTAAAAACTTCAATATCTTTGTTGCTTGTAGGAATATTTTAAAAATTCCAAAAGAATTCATCTGTTTTTTGCATTACTTTTCAGACGATATAAGTATTATAGTTTTCTGACCAGTTTGAAAATTTTTCTGATGTACCTAACATAGAGATATACTGAAGACGTACTTGTAACCATGTACTTGTAGCACGCGTGGTAAGAACAGTGCCAAGAAAAGGTAAAATGGCTTTAGTTTGGGGAAAAATAAAATAAAAATTACAGAATCTTATGTTTTTCTTTGGTTTGTTCCAGTAAATGGTGCTCATGGCAAACATAACGGTACAAGTCACGGT